AAAACGTCGCGCCCCACTCGTGAGGACGACGGAACTTTAAAACTGGCCTGCCACGGCGAGCGACGCTGGCGGCGAAAAACTTGGATGCAGCATTGGCAGGCGTGCTTGAGGGGAGGGGAGGGGGAGGGAAGAGGGAGAGGGAGGTGAGGAGGAGAGGAGGAGGAAGGAGGAAGGAGGTGGGACGCGGGGCGCTGTCTCTTCAAAACGAGGACCCAACGCCACAGGATGGTTGGGAAACATTGAGGGATTTAAACAGTTATTGTAAGAACGGCTGGCGGGCCCCTGCCCCTCACGCCACACATGCAACAAATCACAATGGCAACCTCGGTGCCCGACGCCCCCTGCGGACGAAGACGACGTCCTCCAGCATCAACAAGATCCCTTGAGCAATGGCCACTCCGCCATCGCCACCCTCTGGTGGGTCTTCGAATGATGGAAATTTGAACTTTCCGTTCGCCGATACTTCGAGGACTCTCGGGCCCATGTGAGGCAGCTCGAGGCGGATTCGGAATGGCCTGTTCAGCCCCGACTCCATACTTATTGGAACCAAACCGGATATTCCAAACAATCAAAAACAGGAGGCGGCCCCAAGGGGGCCTGGCCCCGCGTCCCGCTGGGACGCCCAGAGGGTTATAATATGTATAAACAGCCGTTACAATACGTCTCAAATACGCAAAATCCCGCGGTCGAACTTCCTATTTTACGACGTGGCCCAAGTTTCGAGCCCTGCGTGCGCAACGCGCGACGCAGGTGGCGAATCCGTCACGTACGCTGCGCCATGGGGCGCTTCGAACCAATCCAATGAGAAAAAAGAACGCGGTGGGACGAACGGTTTCACGATGGGGAAACCGTAGCCAAAGAATGCGCTGGAGGCGACGCCAGCGCCGCGCGGCTATCATTCAGACAAGGCGAGCAGGCGCCAGCGTGGGCCGCAGTGAACGTTGTCGACGTCGTCGCGTCTTCCTCTCCTCAGGTCACTAAGCATCGGGAACGTCCTTCAAGACTTGCCAGTCTCGGGCCTGGGAGTTTTTTGTTTTGCTTACCTGGAAATCGCAGAGAGAGCTGGGACAGAGCTGGCCGCCGAGGGCAAGCGTGCGGGCCCCGCTCTTCGTCCTCTGTCTGTTTTTCCTGCTCCTCCTCCTCCTCCTCCTACTCCTCCTCTCCATTGCCCTCCCTCCTTCTCCCCCATCACCCTCCCCGTCCTTCCTCCCCAGCCTCCTCCTTCTCCCCCTCCCCCTCCCTCCTCAAGACCTAGAGCTCTCAGGGCGGAGCCCGGTGACCCAGCCCCAAGAATCCGAAAGATCACCCCGAGCCATGCCAAGATTTCGATATAACCGCAGGACTGCCGAAGAGGTGCCTAGAGCCCTGGAGCGACCCTTGGCCCAAGACCCCAGGGCGACCGACAAGACGGCCCCACGAGACGCTCAACAGAGGGAGCGCGACCTGACTAGTCGAGCATCACAGTCCGAGAATTCCCCTGAAGGCCCCGAGAACCCCCCCCCCCCCGCCCCCGCTAACGAAAACAGAAACCCCCAACTGCCTCCAACCCCCGAGGCCCCGACGAGGCCCACAGGAGCCCCGAGAGGTTGCCAATCCTGGTGGCCGGGTGGGCCGAAGGCCACGTCACAATGGCGATGGGCACGCCGTGCCCTCATCATTCGAGAAGGTACAACTGGCGCGACAAAACTCAAAATTAGCATTGTCACGATCGCAACCCAACTAGCATCGGTCAACTCTTTATGACTTTTGACTCAACCCCAAGCCTTGTCCTTTTGTCAACAATGATCCTTGCTGCGCTGGACGGCGGCGCCGTCGCCCCCCCCCCCCGCCCCCGCTGACCGAAGCGCGGGGCCCGCTGTTCCGGCCGCCGCGCCCCGCCAGGGGTGGGGGGCTGAAAGGCGGGCAAGGGTGACCGCGATCGATCGCGAGCCTCCGCGCCCCTAGAAAAACGAATCCAGCTGCATTACGACTGGAGGCACTAACTACCCGCGACAGAGATAGATGGAAGAGAGAGAGGGAGTGCGCGTGCGCGTGCGTTGTCGCCGTCATCGTCGTCGTCGTCGCCTTCGTCGTCGCCGTCGTCGTCTCTGCCGTCGCCGTCGCCGTAGCCGTCGTTGTCGCTGTCGTCGTCGCCGCCGTCGTCGTCGTCGTCGTCGCCGTCGCCGTCGCCGCGGTCGTCGTCGTCGCCGCCGCCGCCGCCGCCGCCGTCGTCGTCGTCGCCGCCGCCGCCGTCGCCGTCGCCGCCGTGTCCGCGCGGAGGAGCGCCGACGAATGGGGAGGAGCCAGGAGCATGGAGGAGTGGGGGGGGCGCCGAGGAGCACCGCGGAATGGGGGGGGCGCCTGCAACCCCCCCTCAAGACGCCCCCAATAGGGCTCCATGCCCCAGGTCAGGCCCAGATGCGTGGCTAGGGCCAACAATACCTGCGCGTTGTGATCAGCAGCGTCACGCCAGGCGGTCATGCAGTAGGCGACGGCCATGTCGTGCATGGCGGCCTCAGTT